TCCTCGCAAAGTACTGTGAGCTACACTGAGTTCACTCCTGAAGACACCTGAGCCAGAGGTCTGAATCCTGTGTAGGACAGGTACATTGTCCCAAGGCAATGGCCAATGAAAAGCCAAGTATAGGCAGTCCCCAGGTTACACGAGATCTGTTCCTGAGTGTGTCTTTAAGAATTTGTAGGTAAGTCAGAACAGGTGCATACAGTTCTTACTTAGCCTCACTTTAGTGCAAGAGGAAACCCTGGTGGCTTAGTGGTTAAGAGCTATGGCTGCTAACCAAATGGTCGGCAGTTCAAGTCCACCAGGTACTCCTTGCAAACCCTATGCAGCAGTTCTACTCTGTCCTGTAGGGTCACTATGAGTCGGAATCGATTCAACGGCAACAGGTTTGGTTGGTTTAGGTTTAGGGCAAGAAAAGGGAGCCCTGGTGGTGCAGTGGCTAGGCACCTGGCTGTTAACTGAAATGTTGGCGGTTCGAACCCACCAGCTGCTCCGCGAGAGAAAAATGTGGCAGTTTCTTCTGTAAAGATTTACTGCCTTGGAAACCCTATGGGGTATTTCTACTCTGTCCTCCAGGGTTGCTATGAGTCGGAATCAACTAGACCGCAGTGGGTGGGTTTTAGTGCAAAAAAAGGTTCGAAGCCTTTTCAACGATTTAAAAGCTGCACGTGCAGCAAGTGAAGGTGATTGTGATGAAGAATTTGTTGTGAGTAGGGCTTGGTTCAGTCATTTTAAAGTGAGGGCAAATTTACATAACATTAAAGGGCAAGTATGCGTTGTCCGTAAGTTGGATGTTCAGAACCCGGGACTGCCTGAACTCCAAAGGTACCCGTCTTAGTTTATTCTCCCTCTGCCAGACTGGACTGCCTCCTGCCTCAGGCCAAAGCCATCCTGTCTAATATACCCCAATTCAGAACAGCACCCATAAACTGCAGAACTTCTCATTAATTTTCTGTTTATTGCCTTTTTCTAAATTCCTCCTGGGTTGATCTTGGAGGAGGGAGGCATTAATGCTGTAGTTCAGAATCTTGACTGGAACATGAACTGGGACCAGGTTCCTTATTTTCTCATTTAAGCATTTAAGGCAGTAAAATTTCCTCTAATTACCATCTAACTGCAAGCCACAAGTTTTGATATTATGACTATGATATCAAAGTATTTGGGACACATAAATACTTAGAAAATGCATTTTTTTTTTAAACTTCAAATTTCAAAAAAAAAAGCTTTTTATTACTAATTTCTAATTTAATTACATCCAGGTCAGAGAATATGATCTTTATGATTCACATTCATTGACATTTGCTGATACTAGCTTTATGGCCTGTTGAGGTCGTCAGTTTCCGTACGAGTTCCATGTGTCTCTGAGAAGAACATTTTCTCTAATAGTTGAGTACAGGATTTTACGTAATTTCGCTAAAGCAAGCTTGTTAATTTTGTGTTATACAAATTTTCTGTTTATAAATTTTCTGATGGCTTAATCTATCGGGGAGAATTACAGTAAAGTGGAAGCACTATGATGGTGGATTAGTGAGTTCTTCACGTACTGCAATAATATTTGCTTTATAGATTTTGAGGCTATTTTATTGAGCTTAGACAAGAATAAAATTATTAACCTTTCTGATGAGTAGAACCTTTTAACATTTAAATAATGACTCTTTTAAGGTTGTTAATGCTTTTGTTTTTAAGTTTCATTTATCTGGTATGAGGACTCTCTTATATACCTGGTGCCTCGTCCCGTCCTTTATTGTTCATCTTTCTCTGTGCTTGTATTTCAGGTGTACCTCCTATAAAGAGCATACTGGTGGAATATATATGTCATGGATTGAGTTGCGTCCCCCAAAAATATCTGTCAGCTTGGCTGGGTCATGACTCCCAGTGTTGTATGACTGTGTAATCTGATGTGATTTCCTTATGTGTTATAAACTCTATCACTGTGATGAGATTATATGTGATCTCCTTATGTGTTGTAAGTTCTATCACTGTGATGAGGTTATAGTGATGAGGTTGACAAGATTAGTGTCTTAATGCAATCTCTTTTGAGATATAAAAGAGAAGCGAGCAGAGACACATGGGAACCTCATACCACCACGAAAGCAGTGCCGGGAGCAGAGCGCATCCTTTGGACCTGAAGTTCCTGCGCAGAGAAGCTCCCAGACAAAAGGAAGACTGATGACACAGACCTTTCTCTGGAGCCAAGGGAGAAAGCGTTCCCCTGGAGCTGATGACCTGAATTTGGACTTGCAGCCTACTGGACTGTGAGAGAATAAACTTCTCTTTGCTAAATCCATCCACTTGTGGTATTTCTGTTAGAGCAGCACTAGATGACCAAGACTATATATATATATATATATATATATATACACATATATACACATACATATACATATATACATTTTAAATCCAATCTGGCTAGTTTGGCTTAATCCATAAATATTTATTATATTTATTGTGATTATTTATATTTATGAATTTAATTATCCATCTTTATACTTTCTATGTGTCCCATTTTATGTTTCTTTTTTCCTTTTTTTGATTTTCTTTTAATGGACTTATTTTTTTGCAATACATTATTTCATTTTTCCCTCTCTACCCTTCTACTTGTTTGGAAGTTACTCATTCACTTCTACTGACTTAGTAGTTACTCTTGATATCTTACCATGCATACTTAATATAGGCTTATCAAGTATTAATCTCTTAACCAACCAATGAGGTAAACATCCTAAACTATTCAAGGACCTTAGATTGGACTTTTATATAATCACTACTGCTGCCAACTTAACATACTATTACTATCCACTACTTCTGATTTGTCCTTTTGAAAGTCCTACAAACTACATATTATTATAAGTATCCCTTTATATTAATAATGGTTGTTTAAATTTATCTATATCTTTATCAATTTATTGGCTCAGCATTAATTCTTATATCTCAGACCTTCCTTGGAAAATCATCTTCTTGAAATAAATCCATTAAAATTCTTCTAGCAAAGGCTTGTTAGTAGTAAACTTTCTCAGGTTTTGACAATCTTAAAATGTCTTCATCCTTATACATGAAAGATGGTTTTCTAGGAGAACAATATATTTTCTCTCAGTACAGGGAAGATGAGTCCACTATCTTCCGATTCCTACTGCTGGTATTAAAAATCTGCTGTATATCTGTCATTTTCTTTGTAGATAATTTGCCCTTTCTCTCTGGATTCTTTTAAGACCTTCTCTTTGCCTTTGGTGTATTATAACATACTACTCAGTGTGGACTTCTATTTATTTATTCTATTTGGTATTCACTGTGTTTTCTATATCTGTATCTATGGATTTATAACACCAGTTTTGGAAAGTCTTAAGTCAACATCTCTTCAAATACCATGTTTTGTCAGCCCTTCTACTGTCCCCATTAAGGATTCTGATCAAATATATCTTAGATCTTCTCTGTATTTCATAACCACTCTTTCATATTTTCCATCTCCTTGTATTTTTATGCTATACTGGCCTATTTCTTCAGGTATATCTTCCAATTCATCAATTTTCTCTTCAACGATCATGCTTCTCACAATTATATTTGGTTCTTTCACAATTTTATTATTTTTAATAGCGATTTGTTTCTTATTTTATTTCTACAAACTTTCATCCATAGTTATTACATAATCTGTATCTTATTATTTTAGTATCTGATGTACCTGGGGGTGATCTTTTTTGTTTTCCCCTGGTAACGATCACTGACGGTGAATTATCTCGTCATACGTTTGTCAAGTTTTCATTGTCCAAGAGCTCTGCTGACACAATGGTCAAGCCCTCGGCTGCTAACCAAAAGGTTGGCGGTTCAAACCCACCAGCCACTCCACAGGGGAAGATATGGCGGTCTGCTTCTGTAAAGATTACAGCCTTGGAAACCCTAAAGGTCAGTTCTACTCTGAATCGACTTGACGGCCATGGGTTTGGTTTTAAATTAGGGATACTAGGATTTCCATTTGCTTCCACAGACAGTGCAGATTCTCAGCTGGAATTAGTTTGTTGCACAACATGGTGCTTTAAAGCTATATTGCTTGCTTTGGAATGTTAAGCACATGGCTAGTACAGTAGCAACAGAAAGTCATGGGATGTTATGATGGCTGCTGAGGTCAGCTTTCCCATCTTGTCCAAAACTGAAATAATCTAAGTGTAAATCTGAGGGCAGCAGTTCTCTTCAATATTCTGACCACAAGGGTAGCCATCATCATCTAGATGGTCTTCAGAAACATTGTATGTAAAATTTGAGAAATAGTATCTAAGACTATTAAATTATGGTAAATTCTTTGTATTTAAAAGAAAAAAATAACACTGGGTCAACAATATAAAAGCAAACAAGAACCTAGAAGCACTTTTTTTCAAAGGAATTTTTCTTTTCCAATCTTTATTCACTTACATGTCATTAGAATAAATACATATACCATAGTTTTATGCAAATAATGCACGCATTCTATGTTTGCCAGCCACGCTCCCTCCCCCCATGAGGTATTTTCATAAGCATGCTACACTATTTTTTTTTTTTTTTAACAGCTACATGTAAAAAAAATTGCCATAGCAACACTTATGAAAATACCTTGCAGGGGGATGGTGCAGCGGGGAAACAAATATAGAAAGAAGACACGTTATTTGTGTAAAAATATGGTATTGTTTTCTCATAAGGTCTAAGTATCGTTTAAATTTGGGGAAAAAGGTTAACGTCGCTGTTTTTAATTTAAAAATAAAATAATTATTCTAAATCCTGATCTATAAGACAAAAATTTTCTTTCCTTTTAAAAATCCATTCTTTATTTTTCACCAGTTATTCAAATATAAAGAAAATAATGTCTTTCTATTCATTACTAATAATCCTGAAATACATTCTAGTAAGTAACACATAAAATATTTTAAGCTGGCCTTTTAAAACCAAAGGCAACGCAAGCTGCAAGTCACCACGTTTATATTTGTATGGAAAAAACGACACACGATTTAATGAGAATTAAATGTGATTTGGAATTTGCTTACCTGTTGGCTGTTTTCACAGAACAGTTTTTCCTGTGTCCTCTTTCAGCTCGGTTATCTCTCAGAAGCTGATGCTACACAAAATGTTAAGACAAAGTTGTAGAAACAGAGATATTTTCATCATATCATTCTGCAAGTAGAAAAATATTCTCATTCAAATGGCCCCTAATAGTTTACTTGCATCACTTTTTGCTACTGGTTTCTCGTAAAGGAAAGACTACCACCTTCGCTAGAGATGTCAATGCCGCTCTCACAAAACTGCTAGGAGGCTGGCTACTCAGTGCTTTGTCCATAGCCCCACTGCCCTCACAGTCGGTTAATACACAGCCTGGGCTTGGAGGCCTAGACCTCCGTTCTCAACCTGTTTTCTCTGGAGTGGCCCTGGTGGATGCAGTGCGGCCTCTCTCGTCAACGACCTCTATCGTTGTATACAGCTGTGAGTTTGTTTAGGCTTTGTCAACTAAACTGATATAAACAAGCTAACAGTATTTCCTCTGTGCCCACTGGCCAAACATGGTAAAGGAACACACTTAAAACATTCTTGTTCAAAGAAATTATTGGCTTGGAAATATGTAATTAGAAAATATATATATTTCATTGCTTCCTCAAAATGCCTTACCATCCACTTCCCTTCACACTTGCTTTACTCTAACTAATTGGAAAGAAAAAAAAAAAAAAGTCAATATTCTTTACTACGTGTTTACCCAAACTGTAGCTTATCTTATTTATGCAGAAATATGATTATATGCAAGACTGGGTTGTGAAGGAGTTGTGCAGCATATTAGAAATTAACACTAACGAAGTAAAAGTCTTAGAAGTAATAACGCAGGAGACAACTGGATTCTAATTCCAACTGTACCAGTACCTAACAAGTCATAGGTCCAATCCCAGCTCTGACACGTACAAGCTGGGTGATCTTAGGCAAAGTAGTTAACCTCCCTAAGCCCCCGTCTCCATCTGTAAAATGGAGGAAACAGTAATGTCTACCTATAAGGCTGCTGTATTAAGTAAGTCATGTAAAACCCTTAGTACTGTGACTGGCACACAGGAAATGCTAAGAAAACAGCTTAAATGCTACCACTATGATTATTATTATCATTATAAGTAATGAGCATGGGTGTCAGTGGGTACTGTCTGACCAGTATCTGTATCAATAACCTTTAATGAAGGACAACTTCTTTGAACTCTTTACTGACATCATTTAGAATCCCTTATTAGCATCATCTGGCTATCTTTGAGAAGGAATAGACCTTATTAGGTCACCAAAAATATGGTTAGATCACTCATTCTTTTAGGAATGTCTTCCTTAAACGAGTCCATCTTAAATTTCTCTTAAATATCCGCCTGTTACCACCTCACTGTCACGACCCTCATACAGACCACCAGTTTTGCTCACCTGTTAGGGCCTCCCAAATTGCCTTCCTGCCTCCAGGGTTGCTCCCAGCTAAATCCAGTCCCCAAACTGCTGTCAGTGTGATCTTTCTAAAATGGAGATCTGACTGTATCGCTCCCTGGCTTTCAAAGTCTTCAATGATTTCCCTCTTTCTTCTTCAGATAAAGTCCAAAATCTTGTACGCGGTTCTCACGGCCCTTCATAATTTGATTACATCTCTTAAAGTTGTAATCTATCATGTTTTTCCTCTACTCCCAACCTAACCTCCTTACCTCTAAATTATATACCCCAGCCATACTGAACTTTTTAGTTTGAGGTGGGTACCATGTTCTCTTCCACCTCTGGCCCTTTGCTACTTTATTCAACCTACCTCCATCTCCAGGGTCCTGCACGGTGTCTGGGACCTTTTTAGTGCTCTGTAAATATTTGTTGAATTAATAGATGGGATAGGGAAATGGGGAGTGAGATTTGGTATCTGATGTGTAGCTGAAGCCACATCTCATTATTACTACTTACAGGAAATAGCACCCATTTATCTTAAGTCCATTCATCTGAAAGTGTTTCAATTTAGAAACACTTTGTACCATGAAAACTAGATTGTTTCTGAAAATTAAAAAAAAAAAAGTAATTACTTTGGCATTTCTAGGGCTAGTGCCTTTTTAAAAAAATATATACAAACCAACATTTGTGACACAGATAGCTAGAGGCAATGTGATGAATCTCTATCTCTATCCTCAATAAACAGCAGTAAAGTAACTTTACTAATTTTAAGATAAAAGACAGATATTTGAACACTATTCCTGTAGTTTTTGTTAAAACAGTTAAAACAAAGAACTCAAAATCCAAACAGCAATGTTCTAAAATAAGAATTGTATGGTTTATTTTTTTAAATACAGCTATAATGGCCAAAATAAATATTCGGGTGTATCTAACATAAATATTAGGCTAGACAGTTCTCTGAAAGGCCAGCACCCAGATGAAATTAAACGAGACAGCACCTTCTCTGAACTAAGACGTTAAATCTCGTTCTAGTGGGCACCATGAGGACTTGTTTTTTTACCTCAAATTTATGGTTCTAATGGTCTCTGTACATAAGAAGAGACAAATATTGGAACTTAATACAAGGCAGCTATATAAAAAAGCCATTACAAAATTTATCTTTCTTTACCAACATAATCAAAAATCGGGGTTTACCTTTATAACTTTAAAGTTAAACTTAGATAAAAACACAGACTCAGATGTTTGGTTGGTGAATCTGACAAGTTAATAATATCTGATCTTGATCCTTCATGGGTCAAAATGGAAAACAATCTAGACTGTTACAAGAACAATAGAAAACGTATGCTTTTATTTAAAAGATACTCAACATGTTTCTGCTGTGCTCCAAAGTACTAAAGAAAAAAGAAAAAAAAAAAAAAGGAAATAGGGTCAGGAATTCCTAGTAAAAAGAAACAAGAATCCTCGCACCCTGCTCTAATAAGCACGCGTAGCTCGGTAGGTTTTGAGAAGCTCTTCGTAGAGAACTTTTCTGTTTCCTTGGATGCCTATCCGTGTCACAAGTGAGGTCATTTTTCAGGGTTCTGGTTCAATAACGTCAAGACTGATTAAAAACAGAACTTCTGAATATGGTGCGAAGTGCTTCTTACCTTCCAACTTTCAGATTGCTGGACTTAGGCCAAATGGAGATACAATTCCCTTATTAGTGACCTGCAGATTTATATTAAAAAGTGACTCATGTAAGAATTAGATTAAAATCCATAAACACAAAACCTAGTACAATGTGATGTTTGCAAAAGATACACAATTAAAAAAAAAAAAAACGAACTAATGAATTGAACCAGGAAGAGAGGCCTTCTTTGTGGTAGATAATGACCTTGACTGTTATCGAAAGGGTAAGAATTTCTGTGGCTATTCGCGATATTTTACAAGATGTACTAAAAGCCTCACATCCCTAACAGCAGAGGAAGAGGCCAAGAGCAGAACCCTTATTCCAGAGCAATCCTCTCTTCACCACCTCTTATTCCTACAGCATTTCAGCTCAGGAGCGTGTCTACAGGCAGACAACTGTCAGGTGTCTCCTCAAAGGCCTACGACATGATCTGGAGTCTCTTGACATTCTTGCCTTGCAGTGTCTTCAACCTCAAAAGGAGAACTGAGTAATCTGAACTATGAACTAAGACTCATTCAGATACTTGTACATTCCATCAAAACAGCAAACCACAGGCTGTTCAAGAAGGCAAAGCCTTAGAATTAAAGTAGACCAGAAAGCAAGCTTTATAGCCGCCTCTCCTCCCTCTCTTCCACCCCTGCACAGACCCTGACATTTCTACTTCGTGGCCTCCATAGCGCTCTCCCAGAACTTTCTCAAGATACTGTAATTACTGGATTCCCACCCGAGACTATGAGCACCTGAGGGAAAAGCTATGTTCTTTTATACAAATATCTTTAACATCTAGCACAGTACCCAGCAGGTAATAGTTATTTAATAAATGTATATTAAGGATGGAGCCCTGGTGGCACAGTGGTTAAGAGCTCGGCTGCTGACCAAAAGGTCAGCAGTTCAAAGCTATCAGCCGCTCCTTGGAAACCCTAGGGGGCAGTTCTGCTCTGTCTTCTGGGGTTGATATGTGTCGGAATGGGCTCGACGGCCATGGGTTTTATATTAAGGATAGGTAATAGTTATTTAATAAATGTATATCAAAGGAATGGTCACTACGCACAGAATGGAAAGGGGTTTAGCACTAAAGAACAGAAAGAAAGAGGAAGAAAATAATAAAGGGTAGGATTTCAAAAGAAGTGGTGTTAACATTATCATTTCTCTATGTCGATAAGTTGGTATGGGAGGTCATGCATGCTATCGTCATTCATTCCACCATATACTGAGGAGTTTTACTTCTTCATGGTCCTGCATTTCATCGTCTGTACCTGGGTTTAGCCAGTATTTGACTGTACTGTAACTATTATCAGTGGTCGGGTCAAAGTTAAACTAAGGAATTATTATCCCTCAAAATATAAAATCTGTCCATGTGTATTTGTATACATATATGTATTTATTAATTAGTAATTAGTAACCTGTCTAGTCAAAATAAAAATCTGAGATGGCATATCAAAATTTAAGTAAAGGGCTGATGTTATTAGCTATTAGCTCATCTTTAGCTGCAGAAGAAAGCTATACTATAATCTAAAACACAAGTTTATAACATCACTTCAGTATATCTCCAATTCTGTAGGGTAGAAAATGAGCTTTATAGAAACTTCTATTTTGAGATAAAATATATCCTGATATAACTTGCGACTAGGAGTAGAATCTTATCATAGATATATTATAGCTTAGCCTTGTATACAGATGGATATGAATTCCATAGAAAAGCAGAAAGTTTTATTTTTGTGTTCTGTATAATAAATAAGACCAACATACCATTGATGTAGTTTCTCTTAGTCTAGTTAATTTCCAAAGGTGTATAAACAGTGGCACATATTCCATTATTAACGTGAGACGTTATCTTTAAAGAAGCAAACCACTATCGTGGAGAAAGGCAAGTTTTCGAAACATCATTAGAACTAAATTCACAAGATATTTTTCTTTTATTATGCCCATGGGTGCTAAGAAATAAAGTACAGCTTATAATGAAGTACTTGGCACCTTCCTTTTATAAGTAAAAGGAACTATGGTATATGCAAGCAACTGTGAACTTGCCACCCAACTTAAGAAATAAAGCTTCACCAATATTATTATGTAACCAATGACCACTGCCTAGAACAACCCCCCCATACACCTCTCCCCACCACCCGTGGGAAAGCATCTCTTTCAGATTTGCGGTTTATCATTCCCATGCATTTTAAAGGTCAATTTTCTTATGTATCATATTTTTGACTCACTTAAAAAATCACTTTCATAATCAATAATGAGAAAAAGAAGTTTTGCAAGAATACAAACTTTATGCAAAATATACATGCTTCTCACCTTGCCACAAGCGTAAGCCCTAAATTACCTTACTGGGCTTCAGGGGGGGAACGAGTATATTTAAGGGACAGAAAAAGTAGGCTACTTATTTTACATGTAGAGTTAACTAAAATGAATGTCAACTAATCATTGCACTGCCATACATACTAATAAGAGATTTTTAAAAAATAACTCATCTAGAAATAAAAACTTGTAAAAACATTGCCACCTTCAAAGTTAAACACATTCTCTTGGTGACTGGTGTTACAGTCACTACAAATCAATTTCGTAAGCATATGTACTATTTTGATACCTTAGCTTTTTGAAAAATCATTGTAAAGACTGAAGTCTGACAAACGAGTGTGTTCCAGAGCCTTCCAGGGGTCAAATGCATGACTGAGGAAGGCAGTGAAGGAGAGCTCTGATGCTTATCCAGGACTGTTCATTTAGCCAGTGTGTTAAGCACGGGCACAATTAGCTCCTTTTAAAATAAGCTGGCGATTTATATCCTTTCACACAGCTGATCTACTTCCCTGAAGGAGGATAGTTAAATATTTGAAAGAGCCTGCATAACTTCCTTTTGGATTAGAATGGTTCTTACCTGGCCATGCTCTGTCCTAGCCCCAGGGCTAAACCAATGGCTGCAGAGGAAAGAGATGAGGAATTAGCGAGGACCTAGCTAAGAGCACTTGCTATCACATGCCCAATCTGCATGTGCTTGAAGACATTCCTTCTTCACCGCAATAGAGCCTTAAATATGCTGTATTTTAATGGATATTTCATGTAATTCTAGACTTACACCCATTTTGACAGAAATGTAAGAGCGCTCATAACGCAGTAATTTTCAATTTAATAAGCAAACTGAGTTAGAATTACATTTCCATTTAATTATGTTAACTGCTGGGACTGTATTCATTTTATGAATCAATTCTGGTTATAAAATGTACAAATGCTATCATTTACCACAACTTAATTACAGCATCATTACAACAAATTATGACCATTTGATTGTTGGAATTTAAAAAAAGGCTTAATCTTAAATAAGAATCTTAACAAGAATCTTAAACAAGAATATTACATCCTTCTGGCTATGGTCCCATGCACAAAGCACACAAAAGCCCGTGATGTGAATTCTGGAGCATCAGCTGAAGGTACCCTGGACCCATTCCTTCCATACTTAAAACCACCTGAATTTTGGCTGAGAACAAGTTCAACAACAGCATTAAATATATACAGACATCACTGCCCAGTGGGAGCCTTCCCTTCCCATGCTGGACCCTGGCCTGCCAGGCCCACCCCACATTGCTTCATCAGCCCCTGGGATTCTTAATACTGACCCATCTGGAATATCTTTTCTCTGGGGATTGTTATCATTAGCCACTGGCCCAGACCTCTGGCAGCATTCTGCCTAAAAACTGACTGCAAACATCAAGGACTAGGAAAATGAGAGGCAATGTGGCAAGGTAGCTATTAAAAGTCCACAATCATAGGGAATGATACCAAGATTACAAAATACTGTTGTTATCATTACTTATTGTTATTATTATTTTAAAACAACACCAAGTATCACTATGTACCAAGCACCCTTTAGACATTGGACGTTTATTAAGATCCTCACAAAAATCCTAAAAGATAATAGTACTCTCATGTTCCAGGTGTAGAAACAAAAGCTTAGCTGTTAGGTACTTGCCCACGGTGTACGTCACCATACCATGCTGCAGAAGAGCAAGTGGCTTACACTGAAATGACACACTTTCCGGGATCCTTTAAGACGCTGTGGTGCTACCACCTGGGAATAAACAGTCTATCGTAAAAGGATTTGTCTGTGGTCTTACGGAAACAATTCTCAACCTCATGGGCAGCGATGCTCGTTGGCATGTCAGATTCCACCACTGATATAGGAATGGACACTTACTGGTGTAAGTAAATGACACCTGGGTTAACTACTGGATTAACTAATGAGAAACAAATTATTCACTGAAGTTCCTGTGAAACTTGACTAACATATTTCCTTTCTCCTATGGGTTGTAATCTTTCTTTTAATATTTTATCGTCTTTTAGGTGAAAGTTTACACAGCATATTAGGTTCCCATTTAACAATTTTTGTACGAATCGTTCTGTGACATTAGTGACAATTTTCACAATGTGTCAGCATTCTCATGGTTTCCATTTCTGTTTGTTCTGTTTCCATTCATCTCGCTTCCCTGCCTCGCCTGGCCTTCTCACCTCTGCTTTTGGGTGAATGGTGACCGTTTGGTCTCATACAGCTGATTGTTCTAAGGGGGCACATTCCTCACTGGTGATACGGTTTATTTTACAAGGCAATCTTTTATTCGGCTGAAAGGAGACCTCCGAGAGTGGCTTCAGTTCCAAGTTAAAAAAGGGGTCTTGGGGTGACTGTTTTGGGGGTTTCTCTAGTTTCCATCAGTCCAGTATGTCAGGTCTTTTCTAGGAATTTGAGTTTTGTTCTACATTTGTCTCCCATTCTATCTGGGACCTTCTATTGTGTCCTTGGTCAGAATGGTCAGTAGTGGCAGCTGGGCACCATCTAGGTCTTCTGGTCTCAGGCTAGAAGCGGCTGTGGTTCACGTGGGCTATTAGTCCTATGGGCCAGCTTCTTCTTTGAGTCTTTGGTTTCCTTCATTCTCTTTTGCTCCAGACGGGAAGAGACCAATAGCTGTTATCTTAGATGGTCACTTGTGTACCCTTTCCTTTAAATAACTTTTCTTTTTTTTAACTCAAATGCATACCCATAGTTTTAAAAAAAAAAAAGCACACTAAAAGGAATAAACACAACAGTGTCTTGATTCATCTATCCTGGCTCCTAATCTCTGTCCAAGGAGTCCTGGTGGTGCAATGGCTAAGCGCTCGGCTGCTAACCGAAGGGTTGGTGGTTGGAACCCATCAGCTGCTCTGTGGGAGAAAAGACCTGGTGATCTGCTCCCGTAAAGATTACAGCCTAGGAAACCCTAGGGGGCAGTTCTTCTCTGTCCTGTAGGGTCGCTATGAGTCTGAATAGACTCAATGGCACACAACAACAATCTCTGTCCAGAGACACCATGGCACTCTTCCAGTCATTTCTTTTGGTATTTAATGCCATATTTCTAAGGAATATGATTATACTGATATTTTGTGATTGACTGGTTTTAGACATTAAGGATTGACTTTGTATTATCATAAACTTACCTCTTTTATAACTCCCAACCCCCATTTCCAGTTATGACACTTTTTTTGATTAATCAATTGTAAATACATTACCGTGACTATGTAAATATTGTCCACTGCTGAGTCTTCCCTTTTATTTCTCAAGTTGCCTTGGTTTTCTTCCTTTGATAAGTTTTCTGTGTACCCACCAGTCTTATTTGTTAGATCTGTCAAATCCTCATCACTGTTACTTTTTCAAATGAAAAATTCTCAGATAATACAGCTACCCCTTACTACTTACTACTCAGGCTCTCTGCCCACTTGGTCTCATCTGGGCTGCTGTTCGCCAGGTCCACCCTGGAACTCCTCTCTGTCCTCTAGCCCCTAACCTTCATTTAGCAGTCAAGTGTGTTAACTGTTTGCACCATCCAGGGACTTCTGGATGCTTTTAGGAGGTTCTAAAAAGAAAAGGGTCAGCAAAAAAGAGGGAGACTCTCAATGAGATGGACTGACACAGTGGCTGCAACAACAGGCTCAAGCGTAACAACGATTGTGAGGACGGTGCAGGGCCCGGCAACGTTCCGTCCTGTTGTTTGGAAGCTCCCTGTAAGTCGGAGCCAACTCCGTGGCACCTAACAACAACCACAATTTCATTAGTGATGGGACTTTTTCACTCACTGTTTTGGGTGAGCTCTTTCAATCTGAAGTTCTGTGTGTTTCAATACAAAAAATAATTGTTTATTTTTTTAACAGACTTATTTTTTAGAGCAGTTTTAAGTTTACAGAAAAATTAAACAGGAAGTACAGCGCTCCCATATGCTCCCCTTACCCACAGTTTCTCTATTATTAACACCATGGCTGAGTGCAGTAATTTGTTACACCTGATGAACCATACTGATACACTGTTATTAACTAAAGTCTATAGTTTATATCAGGTTTCACTTTTTGTCTTGTACAGTTCTATGGGTTTAACATATGCAAATGCCCTGTACTTACCATGACAGTATCTACAGATGTTTCCCTGCCCTAATCATCCACTGTGCTCCACATACTCACCCCTCCCTCTCTCCCCCAAACCCCCGACAACCACTGATCTTGTTATTGTGACTACAGCTTGGCCTTTTCCAGGATGCCATATTATTGGAATCATACACTGTGTGGCCTTTTTAGATTGGCTTCTTTCATTTAATAATACGTATTTAAAGTTTATCCATGTCTTTTGTAGCCTGATAGCTCATTCCTTTTTATTGCTGAGTAATACTCCATTGTATAGATGTCCCACAGTTTTTTTATCCATTCACCTATTGAACGACATTTTTGTTGCTTCTAATTTTTGGCAATTATGAATACAGATGGTAGAAACATTCGTGTGCAAATTTTTACGTAGAAATAACTTTTCAAATCCTTTGGGATGGTATGGTAAGCCTATGTTTAGCTTTGTAAGAAAGTGCCAGACTGTCTTCCAAAGTTGGCTGTACCATTTTGTGTTCCCACCGGCAGTGAACAAGAGTTCCTGTTGCTCTACATCCTCGTCCGCCTTCGGTATGGTCACTGTTTTCTATTTCAGCCATTCTAACAGGTAAGCAGTGGTACCTCATTGTTGATTTAACTTGCAATTCCCTAATGACTATGACTACCAGCTGTCTGTCATACTGTGGTGGCTTGCACGTAGCTGTGACGCTGGGAGCTATGCCACTGGTATTTCAAATACCAACAGTGTCACCCATGGTGGGCAGGTTTCATCGAAGCTTCCGACAAAGACAGATTAGGAAGAAAGGCCTGGTGATCTACTTCCAAAAATTAGTCGATAAAAACCCTACGGATCACAACAGAACACTGACTGACTACTAATAATCACTAACATGACACAGAAAAGGGCAGTGTTCCATTCTGTTATCCCTGAGTAGGAGGGGACTCAATGTCAGCTCACAACGACGTATGATGGTGAGCACCTTTTCACATGTGTATTCGCCATCTCTGCAGCTTGTTTAAGGAGCCTGCTGACGCAGTGGTTAAGCACTCAGAGGCTAACTGAAATGGTTGGCAGTCTGAACCCACCAGCCACTCTGCGGGAGAAAGATGTGGCAGTCTGCTTCTGTAAAGACTTACAGCCTTGAAAACCCTATGGGCAGTTCTACTCTGTCCTACAGGATCACTATGATTCAGAACCAGCTCCATAGCAATGGGTTTGGTTTGCTTTTTTATAGCTTCTTTGGTGAGGTATCTGTCCAGATCTTTTATTTAGATGCTTCTTCTCTTAAACTCTCAAAGTCTTTGACCTATCTCCATTAAAGAAGTTATATTAACATGTTATAATTTTTTATTTATCCTGATAATAAATCAGAGCTCCTTGAGAAAGGGAAAATGATAATAATAGTAATAGTAGAAGTTGTAGTAGAAAAAGTCATAAAAATAAAAGAAGCAGCAGTAAAGACACTACCACTAATAAACATCAGATACATGCTAGGCACCATGCTAATGGCCATACGTGGATCAT